ACATGATTCAATAATACAAGGTTAGATAATTATTGACAGCTGCGGTTTGACACTCCCTTACAAAAGGTTGCATTTACGAAGGACAGAGAAAGGGCAAGAATGCAATCCCTTGTTTCGAAAATGGTAGTAGAAAAGTACGCAAAGTAGGCAATTAGTAGTGAAGTTCCTTTCGTTAATTCTAATGTATTTGCAGGAAATCTGGCATTTTAAACGAAATGTTGGACGTAATATTGATATATCTACGTGAATTACGTAATTTATATGCTATTTAGTCGTATAAAAACTGCAAAATGACTCAAAATTAAAATAAGACTACTATGCGATTGATGTAAACATCCAATGCTTATGTTTTCATCAGGTAAACATGCTTCATATGCATATGCAAATAAACATATTGCACAAAAGCTTTTACTTTTATTTCACACCAAAGCTACACTGTTTCCATGTACATTTGCAAAGAAGCAACACGGTGCCACTGCTAAGGGAGCGGTGCGAGAGAGACAGCTGTCAGTTTATCGAACCTTGTATTAGGAGCGTTCCTTATCTCCCAGAAATAGTCAGAAAAAGGCCGAAGTAGTTAGATTCATGATGCAATAATACAAGGTGGTATCAGTTGTGACAGCTCGATTTGACACTGCCTTAGCTCAGTAGAATAAGAAAAAAAACGGGTAGAAATGAATCCCCATTTGGGGGAAAAATATAAAATTTCATATTTTCTTCTAAACAAAATTTGCTTTTTTATAGTATATTCGCAATGAAATTAAATACCTATTCTTGAACACTACTGACATTCAATCATTACTTTTGACGAATACGAAAGAGAGGCGCAAAGTGTCATGAACCAAAAATACAAGATCACGTAAGAACGCGACGTTGTATTTTGTAAATGGTTTTGAGAAAAAAGTTTGCGAAAGCGGGTTCGTCAGCTCAGCGTTTGTTTACATCACAAGCACCACTATTTTACACTTTTATTCAAGTAAAGAAGAGTTAATTCAACATGACAACACATTTTAAAGCATTTTGTTGCATCATTTTACCTAAATTGTGCGTTTAAAGTGGCTGACAATAATTTTGGCTAATTTTGGTTTTCGTTGTTTTCTTTGGTTTGTTTACTTTTCCCTCGTTTTTAAGTGAAACAAGATGGCGTAGAACCCGTTAAAAAAATCGACTTTTTTCACTCTTGTTATTACCTGATCTTGAATCTCGTTCATGGCAAAGTGTGGTAAGTTTACAAAGGGAGATAAAAATGACATGCTAAAACTACCAGTGTTGAACATTGTTACAAGTATTTTTTACTAAATGATTATCAGCGATGTGCATTTATTACACCCCCACCCCGTGAATCACCCTGATTTACCACCTTCGTATCGGAGCAAGTTCAGAAGTTGGTCGGCGAAGAACTCCAGTCTTCGTCCTGACGGCCCGCCTTACTTACCATCAGAACCTGTATATACTCGTACCACCAAACCACGGCACCACTGACGTCGTGGCACATCGGCATCGCAGATGAAAACAAGGTCACCTTCCTGCAATGGCTTTGTTTTTTCACACCATTTAACTCGACGTGTTAGGGTGGGCAGATATTCAAGTATCCAACGTTTCCATAATTACTGTGCGTTCCCTGCTTGCGCAATGTACAAGTCTTCTCTTCCACCTCGCTCAACGTCGGTGTTTTAGCAGTATTGCTGGTTCCTAATAGGAAATGGTTTGGTGTGAGCGGCTCCTCCTGGTCAGCCGACATTGCCATGTGCGTTAAAGGACGGGAATTAACGATGTTTTCTGCCTCGATGATGGCGCTTTGTAAAGTTTGATCGCACGCTTCACGCATCTGACCATTCGCTTCGAATGCCACCTTCCGAAGGATTATTTGGGCAATCAAACATCCACTCGACCCCTTTATTTGCTAGTTCACTTTGCACCCTCTCACAGTCGAAAACATCCTCGAAACGCTTAGCTATTTGGTCAGCGCCAACGAATTCTCACCGGGGTACCGCAACGGTTGATAAAATTCCTTATTCGCCAAAATGCATGAGTCGGTCGACAAGTCGTGCGCTACTTCTAAGTGTATGGCGCGCACTGCTAAACATGTTAAGAGCGCTACCCATCGTTTTTCAGTGCGCCGGCCAATTGTGACCTTCACCTGACCGAAGTAGTCAACACCAGTGTAAGTAAACGGTCTGACAAACGGCGTCAATCGGTCGGCTGGAAGCGGTGCCATAATTGGCGTAACTGATTTAGCACGCGCCAACTTACATATCTGGCAATTTGCGATCACGCCTCGTAGAACCTTTCTCAGCTTAGTAACCCAAATTTTTTGTCTTATTTCACCGATGGTTGCTTCAGTATTTTGGTGCTTCATACGCTGATGGTAATAGGCGACAATGAGCGTAGTAACTCGATGGCGTGTCGGCATAATAATCGGATGAATCGCTTCAAACGGAAGATGACTTGCGGCTTCTAATCTTCCACCTACTCGCATGACTTCATCACCATCCAAAAACGGCAAAAGATCTCGAATCGTGCTATCATTAGGCAGCATCTGTTTCTCGGCAGGCTGTGTATTTCTGAAGCGTAGAAGGCGGCTTGAGCTTGACGGCATAGTAGCTTCTCTGCCGAACCTAGCTC